TATATTATTATTATTATTATTATTGAAAAAAGGTTTTTATTTTGTATTGATCGCACAGTTTGTGTTTTAAGAAATACAGAGACTTTGTCTTCGAGTGATTGTATAATATAAATGAATATTTGATATATTTTTGTGTCATTGGATTTGCAAAATATTTCATACATTTATAATAATCGTCTCAAACTGTATATCGATATGTGATTAACAGTTGTTTCAAATGGTTTTGTATTCCCGTTGTGTATGTGAGCGAAGACTGCTATGAAAGTTATGATTAAATTATTATATAAAACATTATATAATAGTTGTAATAATAATATCGAGAATATATCTAAAAAGCTATGAAATCTCTAATAGTGTAGAGATTATTGAGTAATACTTATTGAGTTGTGCTCTAAAAGACGTCTCTTTTTATGAATGTAAGCATTAATGATATTGTAGTGTAAGTTAATTAACAAATCTTATGATTATTGCATACATTATATATCGATTTGATTTATTATATATTTATTTTCAATATAATATATTGCATACAATGAATCCACACACGCATAGTGTATCATAGCGTACAGTACACAGTATTTATATGAATGCATATGATGTGGTATTTGATTTAAGTGACAATCTATAGTGTATTTTATTATAAATGTATACAAGATATGCATCCGTTTGGCGTTTAATTCAATTGTCGTAATGACAAACCCAAACACCAATTCCTGTATTTTATTCAATGTTTTCTCGTTTTAACACATAATTTAATTTTATGTCACTTTTTTCAATCGTCGCTCAACTTATCTCTCATCCCTTACTGTATTTTAGGCACAAATTGGTTAACAATTATCACGAGTTATCGATTAATTGTGTCGACAATGGCTGCGGCGATCAAAGCGGCGGTCAGCAAAAACAAGATCAGATACAAAGAGGACGGCTTTGATCTCGACCTCTCATGTGAGTTGCCTTTCCCTTCACTGTCGCTCTTAGCTCTTAGTCTCCCGGTGCTCTCCAATGTATTTGGCGTTTAATGGCAATACAATTTGCCATTAATAGTCATTGCAATGGATTTGTATTTATAAGTGATTTATGTGAGAAAATCGATAACAATATGTGTTTGCAATCTAATGGTGTGCTTAACGACTGGACAGATATATCGCGAAACATAGTGGCGATGGGCTTTCCGGCCGAGACGTTGGAGCGCTTCTATCGCAACCACATCGACGATGTCGTCCGCTTCTTCGAGACCAAACACAAGAATAATTACCAGATCTATAACCTCTGCGCTGAGAGTAAGCGCCGGTACGACACCTCCAAGTTCGGGTGCAAAGTGATCGAGACGTACGCCTTCCAGGACCACAACCCGCCCCCCTTCGAGCTCTTGCAGCCCTTCTGCGAAGACGTGCACCGGTGGCTCACTCGCGACCAGAACAACGTGATTGCCATCCACTGCAAGGCCGGCAAAGGGCGCACCGGAGTCATGATCTGCGCGTATCTGATCCACGCGGGCGAGTGCGACATCAGCGACTCGGGCGCCTCCGTCAAGATCACGAGCGCTGATAAAGCCCTCGAATACTACGGCCGCCACCGGACGCACGACATGAAGGGCGTCACGATTCCCAGTCAGAAGCGGTACGTCTACTACTACGAAGAGCTCATCAAACGCGAGCTCACCTACCAGTCCGAGCCGGTGAGGCTGACGGCTATCCACTTGAATACCATACCGGTGTTCAACAGCGGCGGCGCCTATACGTTGATCTGCGAGATAATCCAATTAACGCCTAAACTCAAGCTCAAGACCTACGAGATTGAGGTGAAAAAGGGCTGCAAAAGTGTGTGTTATGTGGTTCCCGACGAACTCGTGTTTAGGGCCGACATTAAGATGGAGTTCTTCGTCAAGAATAAGTTGACGAAAGAGAAGATCTTTCAGTTCTGTTTCAACACATTCTTTGTGGTCAATAACAGTAGGAGTGATAGTAATAGTTATCATAATCACAATAATCATGACTGTGTCCACCAATACGGACCTAATAGTAGTTCATTAAGTGACGGACAAAAGTGTTTGACATTCAGTAATAATAGTGAGTGCGTGTCGGCGGCAGACAAACCGGCCGTCCCCTTAGGGAACGGCTGCTCCAATGGACAGGTGTTTAGTAATCAACGCAAATGCGGTTCGGAACGTAACAAAAGGTATGTCTTGTCCTTACCTCTCGGTGTTATGGCTTTGTTTTAGCCATTACTTGCATAGTGTGGCAAGAAATCATTGAAAACCATTCACTGAATATTTGGTTTCATTTTTGACATTATATTCATTACTATTGACAATGAATTGTCGTAATAACGGCTTGTTTTGTCATTTGTTTTGGACAGTAATGGAAAGGAATGGCATTTAGTTTTGCCAAAAGACCAATTGGACAAAGCGTACAAAGATAAGGCCAATCGCACGTTCACCGCAGACTTCAAGGTATGGGTGTATGGGTG